TGCTGTCATTTGAGCATAAATGATGCTCAAAATGTTTTAGGCAACAATATTATAGACACTTATATGAGAACATGAATGGTTTTTGCTTTAGGGGACATATATTCTATAAAATGAGTTGTGAAATTCTACATTCTGGAATATGCCACAGTTGAAAAATATTTACAGTTTATTTGAAGTAGGTGATGTGAATACCTACTTACCTATAGCAGAAAAGCAAATGTTTAAAACTGGAAAACTATTATACAGATGGGAAACCACAGAAGAATTAAATTGCTATTGATGAACAGTACAAAAATTCACTAAACCATTTCTAATAGGGCCATCCAGCCAGTTTGAAAACATCAAATGAGAGGTAGTCAGATAATCTTTTAGGAAAACTGTTTTAGTGATGCTTGTCATGTTTTACTGATATTTAGCCTCAATCTCCTTTAATTAACACACATTAATCTTGTTCTTCTTTCAGTTTTAATAGAGAACAATACACTGTTCTGCAATGTGGTAGACTTTGGATATTTCTCTGCTTTCATATTTTCTATTAATTTTCTATTTGTAAGCTAAACAAATTACCATTCTTCATAAGGCTCGATTTCCAAAGGCCTCATAATTCTGGTACATATCCTGTGAACTCAGTGGAGTGTCTCTATCCTTTTAAAATGTACAGCCCAAAATAGAATAGTATAGTCATACCTCGGCACTCGATGCGTCAAAACCTGGTGAATTTGGTATTCAACGTGTTTTGAAGCAGAAATCTTGTCCAACGCTCGTCTTTCTCCCAGTAGCTGACAAGCAAACAATTAACTTGCTGATGTTGGCTGCCTTGTGACTCGCTATTTCTTCTGGCCAAAATAGCAGGTCAAGTGGTAAGTCATGTGGTTTTCTCGATACCAATCAGTTTTAATATTCAGCAAGCCTTCCGGAACAATTACTGATGAGGACCAAAATACCATTGTACTCCAAATGAGGATTAATCAATAGAGTACACAGGTTATTACTGACTCTTGATCTGGATGAAATTTGCCTTTTTTAGTTGCTACATCACATAGATTGCTTACATGTATGCCCATTCTTCAGTGAATGACCATTAGCAAATACTACGGTAATTTTAAAAAATCATTTTTCAACTAATGCACGCAATTACCACAAAATTTCATGCACTTGACAACAATGCATGCTGAAGGCAAAGTAATACTGGAGTTACTAGCTGAACAAGAACTTTATCTGAATGAGATGGCAACAACCAGTAATCTTTACAGCACACATCTCTCTCTTTGTCTTTCTTTCTCTCTCTCTCTCTCTCTCTCTGTCTCTCTCCCCCTCCCTTCTTTCCCTCCCTCTCTCTCTCTCTCTCATGTTCACTCAGTGACCATTTTGCTTAACAGAACTTGGTCACTAAATGAGAAGTGGGTGTAGCTAGTGCTACACCAATATTTATAGATTCTTATCATATGCACTACCGCAAGCCAGGTATTTAAGGATGTTGAATAGCATTGGAATGAGAATGAAAATTTCAAGGATTCCATTCAACATTCCCGTCACAATGACCAGAACCACTCATGAGGATATTTTGGATGTAGGTGTTCAATCAGCTGTAAATATCCCAAATTATAGTACTGTCTACTCAATATTTTTCTATCTTGTCCACAAGACTATTATGATTCTCCTGGTCAAATGCTTTACTGAGATCAAGGCATACAACATCCACAGCTTTCCTTTGCTCTACTTAACTTTGAGTTATTGAACTTCATGGCCAAATATGAGCATTTCCACCACTTGCCATATTATGAAAGAACCTGTATATGCAGTGCCCCAGCTACTGAAAATATTTATCAAATATTGTTTAACTTTCAATTATATGCCCCATTAGACTTAAATACTTATCATCCTTATTGAAAAGAACGGTCCACTGCAATCCGAAACACAATCATATTTCCTCTTGGGCTCAAATGTACACATTGTATTCAAAACAGGTAAATTTATAACTAAGGCAGGGATCCTACGAACCTGATATATTTAACAAATTGGTGTTCCCTGTGAGGGAGATTCATCTATCTGATTACTAACTCCTTGTGTCACTACATGGGTATTTTATCACTGTATTGCTTCCTATCTATTTTATTCTGAAATTAGACTATGTATTATATTTTATTTTATTAATAAGGTTGTAAGACTAATTAGTCAGTAAACTACACTGCTCAAAAAAATAAAGGGAACACAAAAATAAGACATCCTAGATCTGAATGAATGAAATATTCTTATTAAATACTTTGTTCATTACATAGCTAAATGTGCTGACAACAAAATCACACAAAAATTATCAATGGAAATCAAATTTAGCAACCCATGGAGATCTGGATTTGGAGTTACAATCAAAATGAAAGTGGAATGATCTAACTTTGATGTAATGTCCTTAAAACAAGTCAAAATGAGGCTCAGTAGTGTGTGTGGCCTCCACGTGCCTGTATGACCTCCCTACAATGCCTGGGCATGCTCCTGATGAGGTGGCCAATGGTCTCCTGAGGGATCTCCTCCCACACCTGGACTAAAGCATCCCCCAACTCCTGGACAGTCTGTGGTGCAACGTGGCATTGGTGGATGGAGCGAGACATGTCCCAGATGTGCTCAATTGGATTTGTTAGGGATAACATTGTTTTACCCTAACTGTTTTGGGTAAAGATAATAAAATGATGAATCATGGTTTGTCAGATAAAGTGTATGTGACTTTAAGCTAAAGGAATGTAATTAAGGGTGCAGCTGTAAAAGTACTATATAAGCAGCAAGGCACTCTCTGGCTCTTACTGGCTGGCTTATTGAAGACTGCATTCTTGCTGAAACGGGGAGGAGAAGAAGTGTTGGATTACTTTGAAGATATTTCTCAACGGAGAGAAGATAAGTTTTGGACAGATTTATTATATGTGTACTGACACTGGCTATTCGACACGGACTTTGCAATTAGAGTATCCTCGACAAGACTTGACTGAATTTGGTATTTGACTAATGGACTGTTTATAATGACTATGCTATAATTCTTAAATGGAATAAATTATAATTTTGATAGCACAAGCGTATCTGTATTTTTACTGCGTGTTAACGAGAAGGCTTATCTCACACATTTACCTGTCTTCCTATCTGACTTCGCTGCACGTTCTGTTTAGTTTGTTTTCCTTAACACCTGTTGGGGAATCCAGGCTTAACAGGATTCAGGTCTGGGGAACGGGTGGGCCAGTCCATAGCATCAATGCCTTCATATTGCAGGAACTGCTGACACATTCCAGCCACATGAGGTCTAGCATTGTCGTGCAATAGGAGGAACCCAAGGCCAACCGCACCAGGATATGGTCTCACAAGGGGTCTGAGGATCTCATCTCGGTACCTAATGGCAGTCAGGCTACCTCTGGCAAGCACATGGAGGGCTGTGTGGCCCCCTAAAGAAATGCCACCCCACACTATTACTGACCCACTGCCAAACCGGTCATGCTGGAGGATGTTGCAGGCAGCAGAACGTTCTCCACAGCGTCTTCAGACCCTGTCACATCTGTCACATGTGCTCAATGTGAACCTGCTTTCATCTGTGAAGAGCACAGGGCGCCAGTGGCAAATTTGCCAATCTTGATGTTCTCTGGCAAATGCCAAACGTCTTGCACGGTGTTGGGCTGTAAGCACAACCCCCACCTGTGGACGTCGGGCCCTCATACCATCCTCATGGAGTCTGTTCCTGACCGTTTGAGCAGTCACATGCACATTTGTGGCCCGCTGGAGGTCATTTTGCAGGGCTCTGGCAGTGCTCCTCCTGTCCCTCCTTGCACAAATGCGGAGGTAGCGGTCCTGATGCTGGGTTGTTGCCCTCCTACAGCCTCCTCCACGTCTCCTGATGTCCTGGCCTGTCTCCTGGTAGTGCCTCCATGCTCTGGACACTACGCTGACAGACACAGCAAACCTTCTTCCCACAGCTCACACTGATGTGCCATCCTGGATGAGCTGAACTACCTGAGCCACTTGTGTGGGTTGTAGACTCCGTCTCATGCTACCATTAGAGTGAAAGCACCGCCAGCATTCAAAAGTTACCAAACCATCAGCCAGAAAGCTTAGGAACTGAGAAGTGGTCTGTGGTCACCACCTGCAGAACCACTCCTTTGTTGGGGATGTCTTGCTAACTGCCTATGCTTTCCACCTGTTGTCTATTCCATTTGCACAACAGCATGTGAAATTGATTGTCAATCAGTGTTGCTACCTAAGTGGACAGTTTGATTTCACAGAAGTGTGATTGACTTGGAGTTCCATTGTGTTGTTTAAGTGTTCCCTTTATTTTTTTGAGCAGTGTACTTCTACTACATAACTAGCTTTTTCTGTCATAAAGGAGAGAAAATTATCTGACAAAGCAATGCTGTTAAAAACTCACTTATTCTGGTTTAATAACTAGTTTCTTGCCTCTACAGATATTAAACCGATTGATCACTAATTCTGTAGATACTTCTTTCTCCTTTCTTTAAAAGTTGCAATTTTTATTATTCTCCAGTTTTCTGGCACTTTTTAAAGATTGCTGTCAGAAATGTTAAGATAACTTCTGTAAGTTTTAAGACACTCATTTTCCTTATTAATGTTACACAAAATCCTATATAACAGGAAAAAATTGGTCCAATAGTTTTGATCCTCCCACTTGGAGGGAAAACCCAAATTATGGGTTGGGGCCATATGAGGTATCCCAATCATCTCATAATCCAGGTATACAAGGGTGGTTAAAACATATAATCTTCTCTGTTCTCTATGAGATTTTAGAGACTACAATACTTAAAAGCCATTTTACTAATCTTTAAATTCCTATGTCAATCAATAAATTATTTTCCTGCTTTATTGAGATGACTGCATCTAGATGTATTTTTTCCATAAATACAAGTAACAATGATGAGTAAACATTTACTAAATAATAATTCTTCTGCAAAACTCCAATAATCAACAAAATTACAGTATGACTCAAAACATTCCAGACTTATAAATTTTTTTACCTCATCATGTGTGTATCTGTATTCCGCCTTCTTGCATTTGAGATCCCATAATGCCACTGTTCCTGATTCAAAACCAATCAACAGCTGTAATAAATTACAAGTTATATTAATGTCACTCTAGTACATAATAATCAGTGCAATTCTGTGGCTCACCAAATTACCATACAATTCACTACTATAAGCACACCTGCATGTTAGATAAATTAATATTTCAATAAGTATTGTAGACAAATGATCACTGAGATATCATTTGTTTGGGACATCCAATAATTGAATATTCTGATACATATAAATATTCTATACAGGTAGTCCTCAACCTATAAAAGTTTGCTTAGTGACTGTTCAAAGTTACAACAGCATTGAAAAAAATGATTTATGACCATTTTTCATACTTATGATCATCGCAGCATCCCCATAATCATGGGATTTACATTTGAATGCTTGACAACTGATCCACATTTACGATGGTTGCAGTGTCCTGGGATCATGTGATCACTTTTTGCAACCTTCTGACAAGCAAAATTAATGGAGAAATCAGGTTCACTTAACAACCAGATTACCAATTTAACAACTGCAGTGATTCAGTTAACAAATGTGGCAAGAGAGTTTATAACATGGGGAAAACCCACTTAACAAATTTCTCATGCAACAACATAAATTTTGGGCTCAATTGTGGTTGTAAGTTGAGGACTCCCTGAATATATGATATCCTAGAAAGTTTGTAAATTGTAGATGATCTTAGAAAGGACAAGATGCTTATCTGTACTGTTCTGAATCGTCACCTCTCTGATCATTCACATGTCTTTTCCATTATTGTGAACAATCTTATCTTGCAGTATCCCAAAGTCATATCTTTTCTGTGCTGATACTAGTCCTATAGAACAGCACTGTCCAGAGATTAGGATGGCTGTGATTCTGGGTATTCTTCCTACGTGCTTAGGCAAACTCTGCTGGTTAAATGTAGATAAATTATTCTGTATGAGTTTGACTGTATTTGTGGCCTTGGCATTTAATACTTATTGTTATTGTGGCTTTAACCTTAGTATGTCACCAGAGTCACTTTGGGGAGATGTTACAGATTATTTGAATAAATAAAATATGCATTATGCACTTTCACAGGTGCTATTTTTCTTAATGCAGACATCCAGCATGAGTCCAGCTCCCTCCCCTTCACTGAATCATGGAAACTGCCATAGCAACCACAGAAGTTTAAAAACTGTTCTGACAGATACTTGCAAAAAGCATAGGAAACTAAAGAACTATAGTTATACAAATAAGGAACTTATTCTTTCTCTTCATGATACTTGTACATGACAAACTTGCTAATCCAAGAAAGCAAATTATATGTCTTGAGAAAATAGAAAAATAGTGCTACCCATCCAAAGGTATCATGCTCAACAGTAATTTATGCCTTAGGACTCTGTTAAAACAGTCCATCTTAAAGTAGTTTTAGACTTTTAGTCCACCCAGGAGTCCATTTCCTGGCCTGGTTTGTACCTTGGAGTTCAACACATCCCTTGATAGTTTATTGACTCAAGCTGCTTTATTTGTCAAATATTAGATTAACTAAATTAATTCTTACAGCAACAAGAATTGAACCTGTAAGTTAAACTCAATTTCAAACAAATGGACTAGTCCTCAATATGTAAAGTGCAGCCACTCTCCTGGTTAATTAAGGCCTCCCAGAAGATAATATTGTATATAATTGGATTCAAATGATGTTAAAAGTTTCCTTGAAGAGGGGAGTGATGTCTCCAGCTCTTCAATAGTCTGTGGTCCCTCCCTTCTCAAGAAAACTTCCCAGGACAATTTTTATTTGGTTTCCTTTTGGGGGAAGGCTGTTGAAAAGAGTGCAACTACAGAGGGCCCTGAATAAATGAATTATCCTTCCCATTGCTTTTCAGAGCAGGACACAGCACTGAGACAGCATCGAATGCACTTTTAGATAATCTCTGATTGGTCTGGGATGGTAGTCATGTATACATCCTAGGCTAACCCTTATTGAGGTCTTAGTGGGTTTTGATACCATCAGTCATGGCACCTTTTTGAAGTGCTTCAAGGTTTAGGAATGAGTGATATGTTAGCCAATTCTTCTTCTAGAATTTCTTAAACTTAATGGAGGATGCAAAAATGGTGTTCAGACTTTTAAGTCTATTTTAAGAATATACCATATGACTTAAGAAACTCTCTACATAACAATGATTCAGTAGAAAATATGTCAGAGTGTCTGTTTTATCTTACTTCCTTCTTTTTTTAAAAGATCTAATCCATCTCCCCATGACACAATAATTTTAGTGGCAAGTCCAGGTTTTTTCCCCAAGTCGGCTTCTAAAATGTGAACTGAATCATTATCTTCCTAGCATTTTAAACAAATAAGCCAGCACTATATTACACTCCCCCTACAGTTATTTAGCTCTTTTGTAACCTATGGTAGATAACGTTTTCTTCTGCAAACTATGGAGACAAAAGCTGAAACTCAGCACAACTTGTATAACTGCCTTTTCAGTTCATGTGGAAGGATGGAAGGTAAGTCAGTAGGTAAATAGGTAGATAGACTAACAAATATCTACATATATAGGGAGACAGTAAACCAATGTACTGCACTGATTTATGTGGCATGCTTAACTGTTTATTGCCTCAAGTGGAAGCTGAGCTGAAAAATGCTAGAAACTGATTTGGAAAAATAAATTATTCCTCTGAACTTTTCTGCCATCAGTTTCTAAAATAGCTAGTCTCTTTTTCTTCTTTTATAGAAAGTAAATCAACCTGCAATTTTGTGTCTGACTCAAAATGTGCAACATAGTGTTGAATTACTCACTACTAAAGTGAGTAACTTTTTGAATATTTAAGAACCTCTTAAGATAACAAAACATCACCAAGCACACCATCTCCTTAAAAGTATTAATACAGTCTGCAGCTAAATCACGGCATACTTGAATGAAACCCCTTCTTAAAATGTACCCTGAGTGTAAGCAAACAAACACAACAAGGAAAAAGATTTACAAATACAACAATTCATTAAAAAAAAAACCTAAATATAATAGAAAACTGCATTTCCCTCTACTCGTCTCATAACAATGCTGTCTAGATTCTTCAATCTTACCTAGCAGCAAACATTTCATCAGGTTACATTATCTGAAAATGGTAGTAGTTCCCCAAAGGATGGTCCTGTTTTGTCCCTGGTTTATCTCCACTTGATGGGAAAGGAGAAGCCTTTGCTGATTAGCTGCAAAGGTTGTTATTGCATATGACCAAAGAAAAGTAAATATGTGCATGAAGACTTCTAGTTTTAGATAGAATGGGTTTTTGCTAGTACCTCAAATCAGCTCCAGTATTTATACTGATAGAATTTAGTGTGTACTACATTTTTATTGAGATAAATAAAAAAATATGGACGATTTAATGTGGTTTCTTCCCTTCCCCACATCTAATAGAATTTCAGGAATAAAACAGTTTTTTAATGATTCTAAGAATATTAAATGATTCTAAGAATATTAAAAAAAAATTCAAAGAGGACCAAGATGAGGTTAAAAAAAAAACCAGATGAAAATTACTTATGAAGAGCACACAAAAGCTTAGATTTGTGCTTCGGATCAACCAATATCATTTTGGAAATTGAGATTCTCAATCTGATGTTCTTGCTTCTCAAAATGGTTTAAAGGCATTTAGTCACAAATACATAGAAGATCAATTTTTAAATTTAAAATCAGATATGAGAAGATTTCCCAATATTTAAATTTATCCTGCTAACATAACTATTCTGCATTATATTCCATTTCAACTAATAAAAACAGCATACAAACTGAATGAATGAAAAAATAGAAAATTAGACATCAATCTTCCATACAAAAGATGTAAATTACCTAAAAATATCAACCAAAATTTGATGTTGGAATTTTGGCTGATGTCCTCAAACATTATTTGCTAGTCCAATTTTCTGCAAATTTAAGGAACTTCTCATCTTTTAACTGCTTTGCTATTTAATTAAAAAGCAAATAGCAGCCTCTGCTTAAAGTATTGATCCAAAGGTAAAAAGAAAAATGGATCACCCCCTCCCCCTTCTGAAGGGTAGCAATATAATGAATATGTACAGTATAGAGAGATATTTTACCTGAGTAATATTGACAGTTAAAAATCACAATGAGCTTATAAGGAAAGACAAATGTCATCAAAATGAATATTACTTCCTAGATAATATGTGTGCTTAGAAAGATTCCCACTGTTGTACCTTCAGAGTATTTCAAGCAAACTGATAAATTCTTAAAAATATTTTCAATGTGAAGCGTAACCTAGATTTTATTCATCCCAATTATGACTATTATATGATAAAATTGATTAATATGAGACTATTAACAATAATTATTATTAAATTATATTTTGGAATATTCTAAATAGTGTTTTTAGTAGACAATTAAAGAGCAATGGAAAAGAGCAATATATTTAAAGTTGTTCATTGAACCTGGCAAAAAAAAAAATGGAATTCATCATTTTATGAATATCTAATGATGTACAAACTTAGGGTATAGCAAACAAGATTCTTTTAGCATGGAAAAATACAAACACAGATAAGATAGTGTGTGTCAATTACCTGCTATTTACTGAAGCAGTGGAAAGATTATTATTAAAATGGGGTTATTCTGTGTGATTCAGAATGTAATACAGGTAGTCCTCAATTTACGATCATAATTGAGCCCAAAATTTTTGTTGTTAAGTAAGAAATTAAGTGAGCTGTGCCCCATTTTATGTCTTTTCTTGACAAATTTGTTAAGTGAATCACTGCAGTTGTTAAATTAATAACACGGTTATTAAATGAACTTGGTTTCCCCATTGACTTTGCATGTCAGAAGGTTGCAGAAGGTGATCACATGATCCCGGGACTCTGCACCCATCATGGGGATGCTGCAATGGTCATAAATATAAAAAATGGTCATAAGTAACCTTTTTCAGTGCTGTTGTAACTTCGAACAGTCATTAAGTGAACTGTTGTAAGTTGAGGACTACCTGTACAGTGTTTCATAACTACCGTAGTTATATTCATTATAACATGTTTTTGTTATCTTGTGTTTTGCTATATTTGGCTTTTTTAATGTATTAAAGTAATAAAATTACTGTAATGTTTTAAAAAGCAACCAACTGTTTGGTAATTGCTTGTAATAATACAAACTCATGTTAAAATAAACATTTGAGCATTTACTAGAGTTTCCATTTAGTTGTTTTAGAAGCACAGGATGTCAAAAGTACAATTATGAATAGTCAGTAGACATGGTTGCAAATAGCCATTGGAGGTATAATTGCAAAAAATACATTGTTCTAATGCTTGATATATGTAAAAGTGATTCCTGGGACATCCAATAAAGCATTTGTCATACTTTAGTGCTAAAGCACAAACTTCTTCAATGTAATTTAGATTTGGTTTAATGTTTTTCTTTTAAGCATACCTTGCCTTCATCCATTGGATTGTCGCTAATATGGACAACAGGCCCTGGATGAGACTTGGATGACCTAAAAATTTAAACAATATTTTAAAGAAGCAAAAATACAGATGTATGGAATATTGCAACATTTATAGTATAAACTACAATATCATTATTAAGCAGACTCACTTTCCATTAATGAGCCCAAGTCAAGGTGCTAGTCATACATTAGAGCCCTAAAAAAGGAACAGGCAACTTTTTCCATCCTGGGGTGGTCATGGAGCACTAATTCTTTCCACTCTGCTAGAGCTCCCAGCTGCATATACTCTGCAGTAGCTTGTTTACATTTTATTTCTAATTTCTGACTGACCCTACCTGGGCGGGACAGGGACAACCAAAGGGCCAGATGTGATCCGGGGACCATAAAATTCCCAAGTCTGCTCTAAGTAGTTTTTTTTTTCATCTGCCCAAGTGCTTTCAGCTATTATAATTTCACTTGGTTGTGAAGAAAAAACTTTCCTCTTCATCACAAGTACAGTATGTAACCTTTTCTCTTTTTTTCATATCTCATATCTTATCTATAAACAAATCCTTAAAATCTTGTTATTCAATCCTGATCAGAAAAACTCTATTAAAAGTTATCTGAGATTAACATATCTATTTTAACCTTGATAAAATAAACCAAATCATATTCCTTCCTTTTAATAATTTTGATCTTTAGTCCCTTCAAATACATAGTCCTCAACTTATGATCACAATTGGGACAGAATCTCAGTGGTTAAGCAAAGCGGTCATTAAGCTAGATTTCACACATTTGACACTCCTTGTTGTGGTTGTTAAGCAATTTCATGGTCATTAAGCAGGCAGAATCTGAGGTAAGGCACATAGGAGTACCTCAAGAGGGTAGAGAAAATCTCTGGGAGGTGCACCACAGGCCACAAAGCCCACTGGCACATGAAAACTTTAACCAGTTGTAAGACCCACCAGTACATGGAAACCTGTTGCAGGTCTACTTGCCACCTCTACATTCTGCTATGATTATTGGCTCCACTTTTAACAGGGAACCATCTTCAGTTCATCATGTCTTCCTCATTTTCTATACTTCCTACATTTTCTTTTTATTGTTTTCTTTTGTAAGTTTGCATTATTTTTGATTGTGATTTTTTAAATTTCCACTTAAAAGAGCATACTCTTAAAAATTATTTAACACCCACTTATTCAATCAATGTAACTGCTGTTTTTCATTATTTACTAACATTTTTATTAGGAGATATTTTTCTGCATCTCTGTTGAGAGGATGAAGTGGGTAAATCAGGTCAACATGTTGGAAAATTGGGCAGAAGCATTATGCAGAATATGGATCTCCACATTATTCAAAATCCCACCTCTCCATTTAGCCCATTTTCCTATTATGTATCTCATTCAATATTTATTCACCTTTTTTACAGCCTAAATGAAATGCTACTGAGACTACTGGAAGAGAACAGTTTATATTCGTGGGTCTATAATAAATTATAAATGAGTAAAGGAATAGAGTACAGTTTTATGCATATATCCACTTAAAATAATATTGGAATAGTCCTTGTTTTAGCAACAATATTTTCTCTGAACAGATTTTATTATTTTATGCAGTGTCTGTACTTACTGGACAGCAATAGTCAAAGCATCAAAGCCACAGTAAAAATTAAAAGTATAATTAATTTATTTATATATTTTAAAGAACAGGGTCCAAATGGACTATATCCATTTTTTTCACCCATGTCATACTCACAGTTCAATGGCTTTATTCCACATGATGACATAGCCTGAGAGAGTGAAAGACTCCACATTGACAATGTGTATATTTCCTCTTTCGGTACCCACATACAACCATTTACTCTGGAAAGGTATATGGCAAAATGTTATCCTGAAAGAAAACATATTAAAAATAGTAAATACTAAAATCAGATAGTAGAATAAAATAAATGCATAGTTGTTGAAAATAATAGTTTATTTGAAAATAAAATAAATGCACACACATAAAATAATCAAAAACACATGCAGTTAATTCAACATTATCCAAACTGCTTTTTTTTCTCCAGAGGAAAGCTAAGCACAAATTTTCAACTTCATCAACAATGTTATTTTCTAAACGTACCTCTATTAAAAAACACAAACAAAATATAACACCTTTTACTTCTTAACTAGTATACTTCTATTACATTAAATATGGAAAGAAATTAAAAGTTTTCTATGATCAACAAAATGTAAGTATATTCCCAAAACGTTTTGGAAAATCTAACACTGTATGACTTTTTCTTCAAATTTGTCACAAATGTCTGAGACAAATTGCTACATGTCAAATCTAAAATTGGTTACTAAAATGTTCTCCTCAATAAAATGAAATCCAATAGAAAAAAAATGTAAGCTAACTACCAAAATATTTATTTCTACTATATTCAACCATAAAAACTGAATAGCATTTCTTTCACAGAATACTTCTTTAATATTTTTAATCTATAAAATACATGGTTTGAGTTAAGGATCGTAATACTCATATCTTTTAGAATTTCTAATTTATTGCAATTCTGTTGTCTTGTTTTAGTTTATTTCAATAATTAAAATGAGTTATTTTAAATTAATAATTTTAATAATTTCTCTGTTAGCTTCTAATCTTTTGGGTACACAAAAATCAAAAGATACAAACTGTATATGGGAAATGTAGCAATGACAAGAGATTTTTCAATAATTGAGTATTTTTATGGTAAATAAAAGTCAAGTACTACTTAGTAGATTAATTTAGGCTTTGTTTTAGCTTGGTATTTATTGGCATGCCTGTGGCTAATAAAATAGTAAAATTGTAGCTCTACAATGCAGCTCTAATTAAAATAAACATGATGAAATTATTGAGTCTAAATGCAATCTGCATAATTACTTATGAAAATGTATTAACAATAAAACAAGGTCACTTGAGAGGCAATTTGCAGATGTTTTCAAAGGATTTCCTTTGGTATTTGTAGGCCATATGTCTCCTCTGATAAAACTGTCAAAGCTACTTAAGAGAAACCTTTATCATGATTTGTAAAACTTAGCATAATGTATAACAATTAAACAAATAAACTTGTTGCCTAAAATAACTTCATTGTGAAATCTCAACATTAAAGGTCAAATAAAAAATGCATTAATGCATAATCAAGTTTGTCAAATATCTGTAACTATTCAAATGTTATAAAACTGGTTATTTCACCTCATGATGGATGCAGTGACACTATTACCGTGTGTAAAGTAATTTTTTGACATGAAATTCATATGTACAATGCAAATGTGTATACTAATGAGATGGTTCCACATACTACTTTGCAGGCACTGGCTTTCATGTTAGTCTATTTTTTCTCTACATTTACATTGCTTTTTAATAATCACAATATTCAATTATATATACATTTTTAAAAACTGATCACAAGTTAAAAGAATGCTTCAAAATAATGTATTGTTTATAAATTAAATTATCAGTAATCAAAGATACTTAAATCTTAAAACTCTGACTATAGGACAGTTATTAAATAAAATAAGCAGAAAATGTATAGCAGTATCAACTAAGTAAAGTAAACAGATAGGCCTTAAACTAGCACTGGAAGCTTGGTGCCAAAACAGAGATGATTCTCTAACTACCGGTGTGGTTTTTGAGAATACACTCCTTCAAGTCAATATGTGATGAAAAGGCAGCAATCCTGGCAAATTCAAGCTGGTATCTTTGCCACATCTTTATTGATAGGGAGTAAGCATACCACTTGATATCCAGATCCTAACTATATATAGATTTGTATACTATAGCAGATTTCTTCACCTTGAATTGGAAGTAAATTTATAGCCAGTCCAATAACTACAGGACAGATGAAATAGTTTACTATAATTTGACTATTGTGCAATCTAGCTACATTATTTTGTACTAGTTGTAGTTTATAAGATAAAATCCATTATTTAAAAATGCCATTCAGAATATACTAACTCAGAAAACATGTCATAATGACAGAACGGCTGGAGCACTCACCAAACAAGCAGTCGGTAGCTCTTTGAGGGGCAGAACAATTAGGAAAATGAACAGTGAGCAGTGAGTGGCAGTGAGCAATGGGCAATATGCAGGCCCAGGAAGGCAACTGAACTCTCCCAGGTAAGAAGTTAGAGAGTTCCTAGCTGGGCTATCCAGGCAGAGGGCTGGATCAGGCTTAGGCTAGTGACTGGAGTGGAGCAGCCACACGAGGCTGGAGCAGGCAATGGTCAAGTGATTTAATAGGCCCAGGAAAGTGGCTGGATCTTCATAGGAGGACGGGGCAACAGGCCAGCAGCTAGCACCCAATAGTAGCAGTGAGTTGGGATGATGGCAGCAGCAACACGAGAGGGGCGGGCATGTGGATTGCAGTGAGGTTGCTAACTTGCCATCATAGCAAACAAGATAAAACAGTGGCTGGAATCACAGGACCAGCTACAGCAATAATCTGGACCTTTGAGGTTGGTTGGTGGCTGAGGTCCTGGTTATGTGGGGACCCTATATGACAGCAATTCAATATGGGGGAACCATTGGTGTGGTAGGGGTGACCTTCCTTCCATAGAGTGAGAGCCAAGGGGACAGAGCTGAATCTGGATGTTTATGTATTTATGAATGTGTAGATAATTGGGCAGTGGAATTCTCCAGGCAGATGGTCTTGGGAAATTTCAATTTGTTGTCCTTGGAAGCACTTTGGGAATTTATCACCACCATGGTGGCCATGGGCCTGTCTCAGGTTATTTATGTCCCTGCTTGAAGCCAGACATGGCTTTCTTGTCAGAGCAGTGGCAATGTGATCTGAGGAGAGAACTATTTTTGTTCTCTCTGTCATAGTCAGATCATGCCCCGATGCCTAAAATTCACTTGTTACTCTCTTCTGCAGGGAGGTAGGGCCTATTTGATCAGTCCACCAGTGACTGATAGGTCCATTGGGATTCCAAAAGGAACTAGTGGCTCTATGTGAGGTTTTGCTGCACAGTCTTGCTGAGGCCTGGATCACTGCCTGGAACAGGGAGGCAGAGGCCTTGGATGGGACTGCACCTGTGTAATCTCTTTTGGCTGATTGCTCCTGGTACTTCTTGTGGTTTATAGAGGAGTTCAAGAAGCTGTAAAGGGTAGAGATATCTAGAGCACCACTGGAGAAACATGAGGAATGAATCCAATTGATCACAAGTTCCTATTAAGGCCTACTAGCAATAAAATGTCCAAGATTTCTTTGTTCTTATTATGTCTGCAGAGAACCACCCAGTGGCTGTGTTTAGTTTACTCAGACCCTCCTGGGTAAGACAGACTCAAAGGTATTATTGTCAGGAGTGTACTGAGCAATTTTCAATGCATACATTGGATAATCTGTTTTCAGTTTAGAAGCATGTTCTTTTGCAGATGCCTGGGAGACTACTTAAAACAGCTCTCTGGGAACAGCTTGATCCTGTTAAGTCTCAAGAAAGTGGACAAGGCCATAGTCACCTATGAATTAGATCCATGAACCTCTGTCTTGGTCAAGACCACCCAGGAGATGACATGTGGGTGGGTCCTAGAGATGGTTAATTCATCCTTGAGGGAAGGTGTTTTCTTAGCACTATTTAAAGAGGCACCAATGTACCCCTCTTCTCAAGAAACCCCTACTGGACCCTACCATTCTGGATAATTTTCATCCAATGTTCCTACCTCCCCTTCTTAGGGAAGGTGATTGAAAAGATTATCATGCTGCAGCTCCAGAGGATTCTGGAGGAGACGGATTAGCTGGACCCTTCCAGTCATGTTACAGATTTGGATATGGGACACAAATGGCATTGGCTATGTTTTTGGATGATGTCTGGCAGGAGAGGAATGGAGGTAGTGAATCTATCCTGACCCTTCTTGACCTGCTGCTAACTTTTGATACCATCAACTATAGCACTTTTGGGTTTACTTGGAATGCTGGTGATGAGGGGCATAGTGTTGTGCTCATAGTGTTCACATTCTTCTTTGAAGCTGATCCCAACTGGTACTGATAGGGAGTGAGAGATCCAGCCTATGCCCCTACTTTGTGGGGTGGCTCAGGGCTTTATTTGCTTCTTTTTAACATCTACATAAAGCCTCTGGGTAAAATCATCTGTCACCATGGGATGACAGTGGGATTGTCAGTATGTGGATGATATCCATTAGTAAAGTGGTCGCCAACCAGTGGGCCAGGGACAAGAAAATTTTGGTGGTCCACAGAGAAATGTTACTCCCAAAGCACCCTCCAAAGCAATTAATCCTGGCTGCACAGGAACACAAGGCTGTGCTGCCCACATGGCCCCCTGGGAACACAAGGCTTGTGTCGCTTGCATTGCGAACATGAGGTAGTAAGGGGAGGGGGAAAGGGCAGAGTGGGTGAACTTGCCCCACTCACCCCACGTGCCTGGCCTGGCCACCAGGCTGCATCTTTCCGCTTCTTTCTTCTTCTGCTTTTGGCTGCATGCAAGGAAAGCAGCAAAAGTCTTTCTTTCTCTCCCCCAAACTCCACCAGAAATGAGTCTTTGGGACCGTGCAAGGCATCCTGCTCCAAGAGGCTGCACCAGTGTGACAAGTCTCACAAAGACTCATTTCTGGCGGAGTTTGGGGAAGAGAAAGAAAGACTTCTGCTGCTTCTGCTGCTTTCCTTTCATGAAACCAAAAGTCTCTCTCTCTCTCTCCCTCTCTTTGTCCCCGAGAATGGAGCTGGAGACGATATCCTGTGATCCCAAATAAAGAATGATCGATCGGTAGGAAAACTGGTGAGGAATTTTCCTGCAGACTTTTTTTGGGATTTTCCCAGGGTCTCTGGTCCGTGGGATTTAAAATTATGAGTATGGTGGTCCTTGAGATCCAAAAGGTTGGTGATCCCTGCATTAGTACATCCACGTCCCTGGTGTAGT